TCCGATAGATCGGCTGCTGCTTCCACAGCGTTGGCACTGGCACGCCAAAACACTGGAGGCGTCGAGTCGTCGTCTTCATCTTGGTCCCCAGACTTTTCTTCTTCGTCGGGGTCGGCTCGGCGCGAGGAGGATACGTCCGGCGCACTTGCTTCTTCTAAGCCAGCTCGGTGGCGAACGGGGCGCGATCTTCTGGCAGTGTTGTCGTCGCCACTCGGTCGGTACTTGCGCTTCCCCGCCTGCTTGAAGCTCGTTTGGCGCGGTCCATCGTTGTCGTCCAGGTCCAGCGCGTCCAAGTCCAGCACAGCATCATCGACGTCTTCATCCGAAGTATGCGTCGAAAGTCCAAAGGTCGACTCATCGAAGTTGACATCGCGACTGATAACCACCTGCCCCGCCTCGATGTCATAAACTCGATACGCCTTGGACACTTCTTCGTAGCCGAGGAACAGCCCGGCGCGAGCCTTGGGGTCCCACTTGCGCCGTCTTTCCTTCGGCGTCAGGATGTACGTCTGGCATCCGAACACACGCATGTGCTTCACACTCGGCTTGGACTTGTAAACGATCTCGAACGGAGTCTTGTGTTCGATCTTGGGTGATGGCAGACGATTCTTCACGTAGATGGCTGTCATGGCCGCCTCAGCCCAGAAGCTCTTGTCCAGCTTGGCGTGATGCAGCATGCTGCGGCCAATCGTGACGATGGTCCGGATGGCGCGTTCTGCCGTGCCGTTGGTCTGGTGCGCGTACGGAACCGTGGTTTGCTGCTCGATGCCTTCGACTTCGTAGAAGGCCTTGAGCGAGTTGGTCGCGAACTCACGGGCTCCGTCGTGCCGCACAAACTTGACCTTCTTGCCGAACTGCGTCTGCACCTTCGTGACGTACATCTTGATGCAGTCCTCGCTCTCCGACTTGGCACGCAGGCAGAACCCCTTCATGCATCCGCTGGCTTCGTCCACGATCAGCAGCAGATACTTGCTGCCACCCAGTGACTCTTCTTCCATGGGGCCGCACACGTCGAAGTGGAGCAGCTCGAACGTGTCGTAGTGACACTTGTCACGGTTGCTTGGGAACGGCTTCTGGACCATTTTCCCTTGCTGGCAGCCGCGACACACGCTTGGTCCACTCGACTTGGAAGGTGCCTTCGCGTCCTTGATCATGTTGTTGTCGACCATCTTGCGAAGCACCTCCACCGGAGCGTGACCCATACGCGCGTGTAAGTCGACCGTCTTCCCACTGGTCGCCGCATTCGCCGATCGCTGAGGCGTCTGGAGCCAGTAGAGTCCATCCACGAGGTTTGCCGTCGCCACCACTTGCTTGGAGCCCTTGTGCGCAATCTGCATCTTGGTGCTGTCGAACACGACTTGGAACAGACCACTCTTGTTGATCTGTGGCACCGAAAGCAGATTCTTGCTCATGCTTGGGACGTACAGCGCGTTCTTGATCTCGATGTCGCGCTCGTCGCCGTTGGGCAGAACCACTCGTTCCACGATGGTCCCCACACCCATGATGGCCGCCTTGTTGCCGTCGGCCACCGAAAGTTCGCCTTCATTCCGCTCAATCAAATGAGCGAACTTGGCCTTGTCGTTATTGTCGTTGCAGATGTGGTGCGTTCCGCCGCTGTCGACCGCCCACAACCCGGACATATTCTTGCCCGTCGAAATGCCACACTCCAGTGAGACCGCGAACGCCACTCGATCATAGCCGTATTCGTAGTTGTAGCTGGTGTCGTCGTTCCTCCACTGGGCATTGTTGGCCCCGCGTCCACGGCCATTGCCATTGCCGCCGCGTCTTGGGCCCCGATTCTCGTCCTTCTGCTTGGTCCAGCACTTGTCAATCGTGTGCCCCAATTTCCCGCAGTACGTACACTGGCGAGACTCTCGGTCGGTGTTGAACGCCTTGGCCGCATTCTCCGTCTTCACCGTCGCCGTCTTCTCGCCTTGTCTCTTGATGTGCTCATTCGTCAGCACCTTCACGACGTCTTGCGATCGTAGTTCAGCGCTGCTCATCTCCAAGTTCAGCACGACGTTCTCGTAGCTCTTGGGGAGGCTGCGCAACAGGCAGATCGCCACGTCCTCATCCTCCATCTTGGCGCCGATGCTGCTGAGCTTGGCGCTGATGTTGAGGACCTCGTTGCAATGATGCAAGACGTTGCCGCCTTCCGACATCTCCATGCTGAAGAGTTGGCGCTTCAGGTAGATGCGTCCAGCCTTCTGCGAACCACCGTACAGCGTCTTCAGGCGCGTCCACGCAACCCACGCTTCCTCGCAGTCGTCGACCACATGGTGGTAGTCCGCGTCCATGTGGAGCAACATCAGTCCGAACGCGATGTTGCTCGACTTGACGTAGTCGTCCTTGGCCCGCGAGTCCGTGAAGCTCGGCGTCGTCTCGCGGTTCACGACATGCCACGTCGACTTGGTCAGGAACACGCCACGCATGTAGCGGTTCCACGTCGCGTAGTTGTCCCCGTTGAACTTGTCAATGGAGACCTTGGTCGAGGCGTCTTGGGCAGAGGACATGGTGCTTGGGCTCATAACCTGATGGAAGGTATGGATCTTGGACACGAAGCTCGGACGAAGCGGAGGGAGGGACGTCGCAGACGGCGGGACCGGAGCGAAGGCACTTGAGGGGTAGAATGAAGATTCGAAAGTGATTGAATTGTTGGAGCTTACACCCTACTGTTATAGACACGCGACCCTGCGTCCTATCACCTAGTGCATCTAATCAACCATCACTCACCGGTGTTCATCCAATCATCCTACTCGTCTAATCATCGGTGGCGTAAACAACTTACCGTAATCACCATAATCAACGTGGGTTCGGATTGGACCGGTTCGGGTTAACCGGTTAATGGGTACAACTGGTACACAGTACCCAAGACCAGCAACCCTCAATAAAGTACGAAATAAGAAGTCGCTCAGGTCGATTCCAAAAGACTTGAAATTTGTATTCAGCGATTTCACCCCATATGGCCGAATCGGCAATATTGACCAGAATTCACAATATCAATTTGCGCCATAATAGACCAAGCTTAGCTGAAGATGACCAACATGACTTGTCTAGGTGTCAGCGTCCAATGGCTACGTTGGCGCCAGCAACGAGAGAGCTATTTCATTTATTTTGCAGGTAAGGTATACCGTGCTCATTTTTGTACTACAGTATGTTGTGTGCTAACGATCAGACGAGAGAGCTACAGTGGCGGGACGAAGGAGAGACGCATGGTGCGCTGATCTTGACCTTTTAACTTGAGGATGTTAGCTAAGTGACAATAATGATCCTCAATTCAAAAACAAAACAAACAAACAAACAAACTTTTAACTTGAGGGCTTGGGGGATAAATTGCGGAATGAGAAATACGCTAATGGACAATCCTTGGAAGTGGGTGCTTCAACGGAGGGAAATAAGTCTTATTCAAACGAACGATGCTCGTGTCACTGTCGAGCTGAGCGGATTGGTTTGGTGACAGACACGAGGTTGGGCATCTTCGGCTAAGAGTGATTGGGTATTGAGCAAATTGACATGTAAAAAATGTAGCCCAGGGTGTTATGTCACCGATGGCCTCATCAGACCAGGCAGCCTCAATTGGTGACTTTCGGTTCCTGAGAACCCACCACGATAAAGAAGAGTGGGGCTTGCTGGTTACCAGCCTCACAAAGGTTTGGCTGAAACATCATTTCAGTATCGATACACTTCGATGTGCGCAACTATTACGCATTCTCGGGCAGATGCTGCGGCTCCGAAGCAGGCGCAGTAGATGCCCACGTTAGAGTCAACTAAAGAGTTGGGCTGGTAGTGCCTTTTAAAGGATTAAAAACAATACAACTTTGGGATTTACTCAATTATTAACCGTTATCATCGTCCATGAAACTATTCGTCGACCTGTGTACCCCCCCCCCCCCCGGAGCAACGCTCCGGTTTGCCTATGTACATTTAAAGCAAGAATCTGCTCGTGTAAATGCCGAAGCGTGTTGTAGGTCGAAGAGGGTAGTTGGACTCCAGCAAGAACAACGCGCACACTTGTTGTTCGTAGGAGGCTGTTATTTAATAAAAACTTGATAACTTGCGAACTCATGGTAATTCTGCTGCTGGCTGTAGTCCGAGAAAGCCAGGAAGCCAATCTTAATTAAACCCGATCCTTGGGAATCTAGCGAACTTGACTTCAAAATCACGAAGTTGGCGAGCTTGTGGTTGACCAGCCGTCACAATCCCTGATGAGCAGGCCTCCTTAAAGATGGGAGTTCCCAAGATTCCCATAAAATGCTTTATCAAGGGAGATTTTTCAAATTCATTATGGGAATTATGGGAAGGCATACAATATCTAAGTTCATTGCTTCGTGAATGATGGGAGAACTGCGCCGGGCTGCTGCTGCAGCTTTGAGGCGACACCACTGGTCGTGTAGTGGTTTAAGCGAGCAGCAGTGTATATTTTGAGCTTTTTTTTCACGGGACAAATCGAGATTTTATTATGGGAAAATTGGGAATATATCGTAAAATCCCATCTTTAAGGAGGCCTGCTGATGAGGTGGGCACAGTAGTACCTGTATTGTTGGTGTTCAAAACTTGGGAACCTCAGTGGCACTTCTTAATTTGCGGCCAGCTGAACCAACGATATCATGCGCCCCAACCATCTTGTCATCGGTGTTCTTCTCGCTACGTTTGCAAGTGTCGTTGACGCCAGCTCCTCGAATGAAATAGCCACCGCGACGTCTTCGACCTACAAACCATACACTTTCAGCGCGGATCAGGAAGAAGGTTGAGGACATCTCCCGGGGAATGGAGTCACCTGGAGGCCGACATCTCCCGGGGAATGGAGTCACCTGGAGGCCGACTGGGACAAGCTCCTAGCGGCTCAAGGACAAGCTTTTCTTCTGGAGGCGCTGGAACACTTAGACTCGTCGGCTTCGGTAGGTGACAGACAGAATGAAGGCACCAGTAGCCAAGAAATGTTCAGCTTTCAACAGGCACGGCACAGGCAATAAATGCAAAACGGTGTCTTGAGAAAGACTCGTGGCAACCGATTCACAAAATGTTAGTAGCAGACAGACCGCTTCAGACCTAGATGTAACAACCGCTCTAGTTCAATTGCGACTTGAGGTTGAAGGCTGCCTGCTGCTCGGACGCTTCCTCGCTTGCCAAAAGTGTCTGCACAGCAGCCGCCACACGTTCGCGCTGCACGACCAACCTCAACGCCACATTCGCGTCATCGACTCCTCGCTTAAGCAGTGCAGTTAAAGCCCCAGCCGCAGCGACACGGACCATCGAGTACTTTCCGTCGGCCACACCGAATGGCCCACAACAAGTCTCAACCATGCGCTCCACAGCACCGCTCTTGCCTCCAGCAAGCGTCTCGACTGGAGCTCGATCCGCAACTGCAGACAATGTCTGGAAAATAGCCTTGCGGACACTCCAAGCAGCTAGGTGAGGTGATTCCACACCGGCACAAAGCCAAACTATTGCCTCTGAAGCCGTCTCAGCGTACCTACTGTTGCTCGCTGCTTGATCAGTAGTCACGGGAGGCCACATTAGCGCAAGAGCCTCGAACACGCACTTGATCAGCAGCGGGGGCAACAACTTGGCAGAGTCCGATCTATCTCTTTCGCTGTAGGCCATCCACTCAGCAAACGCACTCCGCAATGACAGCACACTGGCAGCACGCAGCTCATTCTGCTCGGCCGGTATCAAGGCCGAAAACTTGCCCAGATTAATGATGGCACTCTCGAGGTATGCCAAATCGTTGTTCTTCCACGCACGAGCACACTCGTCGACAAGCAGCTGCAATAGCTTTTGCACCCACTCCCCGTTAGAGGTCTCACTTTCCAGTTTGACGGCCGCCAAAGCGACAATTGGCTCCAAAATCACACCCTTGCCTCTCCAAAGGCGACCAGGAACGGCGCCAATCAGTTCCTGCCAAATACGCTCAATTTGTTCAGGTGACAGCCTTGAGCGATACGTGGCACTCGCGAAGATGGCTTGCAATGCGCGTGCCGCTTGCCGGCGTGTATCCCAAGCAGGATGCGCCAACAACAGCGCAATAGCACGCAGCGCAGCATCCAGTGAGTTAGGTGAATACAGTACTGTCGGTGGTAATTCGTCCAGCACAGCTGTCCACGTGCTCTTGAGCCCGTTCGTCATCGCAAACTGACCGATAAACGCAGCGGGAAATACGTTGGTGCTGTACCAGGTATTGCGCAGATCATTGGTCACCACTGTGTCCGCATCTGCGATCGGTGGGACTTTCTTCACGAGCTCCATTGCTGCCAGCGCGCTGATTAAAAGAAACCGGCTTGTGTAAACTTGAAGTGCTTTTGGCCGGGTATCCTCTCCTTCTTCGGTCATGGCTTCGTCGTCACCATGGCTGTGGGGAGAAGATGAAGGACTCGGAGTTTTGCTGGTGTCTGGCTTGCTGCAGGTGTTGAACGCAAAGATGCCAGATCGAACGTAATCTCGAACGGTAGCTGCGTCCACCAGTGGGCACAAGTACGCAGCAGCTCGACAGTAACTTTGAATGACCAGTCCATCCGTCAAACCTGACGATGCGGTCAAAGTTGAGTCAGCACCTTCAGTAGAGTCACCTCCACTCGCTCCGCCGTATCGACTTTCTTCATCTCCATACTGATCATTTTCTGCAGCAGTCTTCGCACCGACATACGGGATGAACACACGACGCAGCAACAGCTCTGCGCCGCTGCATTTGCGAAGTTCAAATGGCAGCTCACCTGCAAGAGTTACCACGAAATTGGCGGTGCCAACTCGAGTATTGAGCCCTACACCAAATTTGAGCAGGTTGGCTACACCACGAACAAGCTCCGTGACAACGGTCACGCAGCCTGCTGAGCCGGCAAGGTCCTTCAGTCGAGCTGTTGCCAACTCTAGAAGCTGGCCAACGGGTCCTGACTGACTGATTGAAACCCGCAGGCGCTCCAACTGATCTTTCTTCTCCACATGGAACTGCGCGTACTGCAGCTCCGGCATTTCCAGCGAAGACAGATATTCTAGCAGCTTGAGTATCAGAGGTGCCAAGCGGTCCTGCATATCATCAGCCTTCAACGTCTTGACAAGACGCAGCAACACATCGATGCTGAGCGCACGACAGATAGTGTTTTTGTTCACAATCCCATCCTGGATCAAGAACTCCAACAATTGAGAGCGGCATACGGCATCGTTTACCGCCACACGCAAGCTTAACTCGCCTAGATAGCGGTAAAGCTTCACTCCAGACAGCGCAACCGCCTCCATGACGTCATCCACTGCGCGAGACGCCGTCTTCCACAATCGTAAAAAGTCATCACGTAAGTCATCTGCTTCAGCACAGTTCAGCAGGTCAACAATAGCGAGGCACGCGGCTTCGCGGTACTTGAAATTTCTTGCGTTTTCGAGCCGAGCCAAAGCAAACTGGAACAGAAGCGACCCATTTTGTCGGAGAGAAGCCTTCTCCCCCTTTGCTTTAGCGGCATCCGTAGTGTTTCCTTTCGCGAACTCCCACAGATTGCCCATGACTGCCGCCACCTTAGCGTTTGAATGAAACTTGAGCAGGAACAGCCAAGGCACCAACTTGGCTTTGCTGGAGTAGTCCTCGGCCATCCACTCACTACCAGCTTTGTTGACAATGGAAGCGTGGAACAACTTATCCACCTTGACAAAGGAGAACATGGCGGGTCGGCGAATGGCAATTGTTGAAGACGACACTGCAAACGATTCCCAAATCGCATCGGCAGTGCTCAGGTACAGCAGTGCATACATCAGCTCTGGGTCGCCAACGTCAGCTGCAACATTACTGACCTCACGGTATGCTGCATTCTCAACAGTAGAACTGGACGACGACGACGACGATGATGATGATGAAGCAGTAGTGGGTGTAGCTGGTCCGCCCGCAGTAGCATTGTTGGTGCTAGCAGCATTTTCGTCATCATCGGTGGCGGCGTCAGCAGAAGACGCGAAGGCTCGGAAGCACCGCAGGCGACGGAATAAGCTTTCGCTAAACTGAAGACCCATCTCGCCATTTGGCGCATGTAGTCGTAGATAAGCAAGTCCTTTGACTGCGCTTTCCTTTGATATTTCATTCGTATCGTTCAGCATCGTAACGAAAAATTCATGCACCTCCAGTACCAATTGAGAATAGGCAGGAGATACCAGAACGCTCTTCCAAGACTTCAATGACGACGCTTCGCCACTTTCCGCGGGTGGCGGTGCTAGTCCAGCAGCGCACATGCACAAGAGCCATATCGTCGAATTCCGACGATATTTAGGTTGTCGGGAGCCTGCATAAGCGCTCAACACACGCTCGAAAATGGCGGCTGCCCGATTCTCAGTGAATCCATTGTACTTAGTGTCGCGGTCAAGTGAGAATAGTTCTTCAGCATCGTGAGCTCCCAGTGCAACCAGGACTTCGCCTACGCCGAACTGCAACTCAGCATCAATTTGATCTCCGAGATTAAGAAGAGCTTCCAGGGCCTTTTCAAGACCAGCAGACACCTCTGCAGGTAGGCCAGTACCGGGTAAACCAGACACCGCGCGGCCGAGATTTTCGATTGCGACACGCTTTAAGGCTGCCAGCTTGGGCAACAGTTGCTCGTCAAAATGGACGGTCTTCAGCTTCCACTCAATCACATGCCTCAATTCGCCAAGCATCCTGGCCTTGAGTCGATTCCATTCGCTAGCAACAGTAGTCGCAGAGCTCTGCATACACCTCGTCAGGGTTCCTGCGAAACCAACTCCATCCATTACACTCCGAAGCAACGTCACGTGCTCATTCTGAGCAAATTCACTTCTCGGGTATGATGCAAAATTCGAACTCTCCTTCACCTTGCTCTCGAGGAGCTCGGTCATTCTTCCAAAGCACGACAACAGCAGCTGCATTTCCTCTGGAGAAGCAGCTTCCACCATGGCTGCATCACAGCCAATGTAGCCCAACGCGCTTCCAAGAATGTAGAGTATGCCTGATTGTTCCTTCTCCGAAGAGCTATCCGGTTGAAGCTTGTTCATTCCAACCGTGACAAATTCAGATATCACTTGGCTGACAGATAGTGTCCCAGCGCTACATGTGCACGTCACGATCGTCGCAATGTTCGAGAGGAATGTGCGGTCTTGGCTGACTGCCGCAACATCGTAAAGCTCCATCACGTGATCAACCAGAACAGCCCTAACACTTTCCGGATCAAACGCGCAAACTTCTACAACTGCGCTCGCTGCCGCCTCGAACACTGACGTAGCAGCTGCAGATACAGAATCCTTGTCCTCGATTGGGGTCAGGAGCGTGCGTAGTATGTACTCCACGATACTCCTCCGATCATTTACGCTCTCCAAACTGAGTTTATCTCGAGAAGCTTTCATGATCTCGACACAAAAGCGCACGCAGCTTTCGGCTGCACCGACATCGTGCATACTTTTCTTTAGATCTTTCTGGGGGAAGTTTGCTCTCAGACTTTTTGCCAGCGCACTCGTCGACGGCAGCGGCTGTGCAAACAAAGCTTTGTTCGATAAACGCCTGGTGTCCTCGTCCGGGGAAGCCCCTAGGCGCAGCACAGCAAAGCGTACAGTGATGTCATCGTTTATTGCAGCTGTGGACGTCAATAATTCCCCACACCAGGCAGCAATTGCAGTTCGTACACGCGCGTAGTTCTTGGTGGGTTCGTAAAGCTTTGAGCCGTTCAGCAGTGCAACAAGCTCGTCTTGTACTTTGGCCCGAACCTCCGACGTTGCTGCTGCCGCGTACGCGCTTGCCAACGCTGTAAATGCCTTTAATGCATTAGCACCAGCACCAGTACGGTGCTCTTCCTCTGCAAGGCAACGCACGAGCAGCACCTGGAAGACCTGCTCAGATGCTGATACTAGCCGCGGCGCTCGGGTTCCAAGTACCGACAGGGATTCGTAAACTCCTTGCCTAAATTCTCGCACAAACTCCGCGCTCGACGCCTCGCTCTCCGAGTGCGGATTCATCAGCAGACGTAGCAGAGTTGGAAACAATACAGGTCCAAGCAAACCCTCCAGCAACGCTAGTTGGCAATGGTGAAATGTCCACTGGCACAACCGCACAGTCGCCAACTTAATCTTATTGTCCACATTCGGCGGTCGAGATGGCTCAGTACCAAACATCAGCTGGCACAACAGTTGCAACATCATCGGAAGCACATTTGTTGCTGCCTCGGATGCTGAGAGTAGTGCCAGCGCCTGCAGGATACTTGGATCGGCCAGCCGTGTGCGGTTCGCCAACAAAATCGCATCAGCTCCCTCAAACGCCCCCGAACTTTGCGCCACTTGACTGCCCAGCACCAACGTCATCAGCCGACGCATCACATCAGCGTCTTCCACTTCCTTTTCTTCGTACTTGAGCACACGAGACAGCTGCTCATCACTGAAAGCTTTCACAGCGTGGTGGAAGGACGCACTACCAGCGAGGTAGATCGGGATTTTGTGCTTTGTGGGGATCCCCATTTCCTTCACCAGCTTCAGGGCATGCAGCTGCCGTTCATACAGAGCTTCACGCCTCAACTCCGACACCTTGGCGCGCTGCAGCCGCTCCACCCGCGACGTCATCAGACCGTAAACCGTCGCGTCCGCACTTGCAGACGAAGGGAGCTCATAGAGGACCAGATCCAGCAAAAAGTCCAGCACCACGTCCACATTGGCGTCACTCTCGTACTCTTCCGCAATATCTCCATCTCGCGCCTCCGCACTCGCTTGTCCCTGTTGATCCCCCTCAACTACAGTGCTCGGAAAAACAGCGGCAGCGCTGACAGGCAACGCGCGCACCAGCAGCCTGAAGAACGCCTCCTGCTGCGCGCCGGAAAAGCTGGAGAGCTTCCTGGCGATTGCAGCCAAGACCGTCGCCCGCTGCTCCGCCGACGCGGCGTCGAAACCCAGCTCTACGAGTGCATCAACACAAAAGAGTGTCAGCTCCATGTTACACCCACCAGATCTACCGGCAGAGCCCCTCCTCCCTCACCGATGAAGAGCAGGGCGAGGTTGTACGAGAAGACGGAGACCTCCGGCTGCTGCAGCACTTGACTCAGCGCGTCCAGCGGCAGCGCGGGGCGCGTCAGCGCCTGCAGCCGCGTCTTGATGTGGGAAACCACCTGCAGAATCTGCAGTAAATAAATAATTATGTTAGTAATTTGAATTTGTTGTGGGGAGGTCACGGAATCTTTTCCTGTACTCTACTGTGCTGTACTGTACCTTGTCCTTGAGCTGCAGCTCCAGCGGCGTCGCGAGCGAGCGAGGGAAGAGCGGCAGCAGCTGGGGAAGCAGCGACTGCAGCACCTGCAGCATGCGCTCGTCGTCCACGCTCGCCAGGCGGAACAGCACGCGGTCCAGCGCCTCCACCTCCTTCTGCAGGTCCATCGTCCCAAGAGCGCGGAATCGAAACTGCGTAATAAAAAGGGGAGGAATGATTGTTATTGATTTTGAGAGGGGAATTTAAGCGTCCACAAGGACACTTTTGCGTTGGCTTTAACTACGGCCAGAGGTGCCACGTGAACTCCTTCGTGTAGTCGAGAGCTTCCACCCAGAGCGCAGCGTCGCGGGGCTCGGCGGTGCGGAACAGCAGCGCGTCGTGGCCGGAGAAGAAGATCTGCGACGGAGAGCTGTTAGAATAGTGTCCGAGTGCAACAGTACAGCGCTTAAGAGACTCGATCGCACCTTGAAGATGTTGGGCCGTTTGCGGTGGACGGAGGCGCCAGTGTACATCGTGAGCGGGAAGACTTGCGCCTCGACTCTCGACTTGCGATGGACGCGGAGCTCTCCTGTCAGCACTGACAGGTGCACCGAGCAGTGACTCCACAGCCGGAGCATGTGGAAGCTGGACGGACACACACACAAGAGGGGTGAGCTCTAGCAGCAGCAGAAACTTGCAGCAGTGCGTAGGATCACAAGCGTACATGGCGTCTCGGCGCATCTGCAGCTCCCCCGTGGCGTTCGTAAAGAGCAGGTAGTGCATGTGGTCGCCCACGCCGCGGGACAAGCAGATGCTGTTCGAGACGAGCAGCGACGTATTGTTGCGGCGGCTCGCTGTCCTTGCCGTCGCGTCCCGCTCTGCAGCGCAGCCGTCGTCCTCCGCGGTTAATGCACCTGCAGGCAGAGATGCCACATTGGACAAGCTCGACGTCACTCCTGAGCCCATCGAACCTGTACAGCAATGAAAGTTTGTCCCTCGCTGGGGGTCAGAGCCATCTCTCCATAGCGTTTCTCGGTGTTTTCTCGAGACTTCAAAACCGTTTTGTTGAAGTTCTTGCTCGCAGCTGTTACCCCTCGGTTTACTAACATTGTGTCCTTATTTGTATGTCCCAGTCAACTTTTCCATTTTCGCTGCAATAATTGCAATTATTGTTGGCGAGCCTGCCTGATGGGGGGCGAGCAGGAGGAGCAGGCGCTTGCGGCGACGGAGGAGGCGTGCCGCGTCTACGTGGGGAACCTGCTGCCCAAGGCCAAGGAGAGCCACCTCACAAGCAAGTTCTCGCGCTTCGGGACCATCCACAGCGTCTGGATCGCGCGCAGGGTACGCGTCCTGCCCCCTGCCACTCTGTGCGCTTGATCCCTCCGTTCTGACGCTTGTCTGCAGCCTCCAGGCTTCGCGTTCGTGCGGTTCGCGGCTCCCGACGCGGCGCAGCGAGCGGTGGAGTCCTGCCGTGAGGATGGCGCCATGGAGATCCTGGGGAAGGCCGTGCGCGTGCAGATGGCGGGGGACAAGTACCGCAAGCCCTCGATCGGGGGCGAGGAGCAGCAGAGCCAGGCACGGAGCCACGTCAGAGCTAAGGAGAAAGATGCCGGCATAATGAAGAGCCCCAGTCATGACTGCAGGAACAGGAGGAGAAGGAGTCGCAGCCCCAGACGACTGGGACGCAGGAGCAGGAGCAGTGAGAGGCATCGGCGGAGTGACCACCGAGACAGAAGCCACAGGAGATCGAGAAGCAGCAGCAGAGGGAGCTATCGCCGTGGAAGGCATGGGAGCAGGTCGAGGTCGAGGTCGGAGCGGAGAAGCACGAGCAGAAGCAGGTCCAGGTCAAGACGACGAGAGGCAACTCGCAGTCGAAGCCGCAGTAAATGTAGCCGAGACCATGATGTGGTGCGGAAAAGGAGGAGGAGAAACCCCCGCAGCTCAAGTAGAGGCCGACGATAAACGAGGAAGCGCGAGTTGTTTTGCGTCGCCTTCGACTACTATCTGGCGCTGGACTTGAATGGATCATATTGCCAAGCGCTCCTCGAACGACCTGCAACATGCGGCCCATGTGGACATCGCTTACATGAGGCACCGACAAGTCTTTAGCAAATGAAGACTCGACATTTTACTGCGCACGGAAGACTTTGTCGTCGGAGGCGGCAGTGAACGATGAGACCACTGCGAGGAATATTGATGAGAACTCTTACATCAAACACGTCTCGAGCGGGCCACAACTCACGGTAGTGCTGCGCTAGCAGCTTCTGCGAAAGAAACTTTCATGCGCGACCACCGAATTAAGTTGAAGCAAATCACAAATCAGCAGGCAAGGAGATTTCATCGCGACCTTCCAGCACCTCTCGCGTCCATGACAACGTTGTCGTCGTCGATGTCCATGGAGCATTACGTTGGCAGCTTGTCGGTGCTGCAGAGTCGTTTACCGGTATGCCTGGTGGGGATAGACTCTCATATGAGGCAGCTTCTTCTTCCAGCGAGACTTGAGGAGCTACATGCTCCACGTCAAGTAGAGAATCTCTACGTACTAGAGATCGAGCGCCAAGTGAGACTTGCTAAGCAGACGAGTCAAGGGTATCCCTGGAGCGTCCACGCACGTTCTCGGCACAAGGACGCTGCCCGACTCGCGAGCCTAGGGCTCAGGCGACCGCAGACCTCATTCGAGCATTCATCGGCCAGAGCACACGCGCATTCCGTTCCAGCTCACTCACGCCCATGGCAAGCTTCCCCGTGGACCGCCTCAACAACAAGTCCAGCGTGGCGATACTCGAGACCCTCTGCAAGAGGTCTCGCTACAACCCCGACAGCGAGCAGCTCTGCGCGCAGCTCTACGAGCGCGTCAAGGATCTGCACGATGCCATCGCATCAGACGAAGGCCAGCTCAAGCGCAAGTACATTGACGTCCTCGTGCGGTCCGTCAAGCTGACGCACCGCGACCCACTGCTGTTGCGTCTTGCTACGAGCAACTCGACGCCGTACAAAGTGCGTGAGCTGCACACTGTTCTCGACGACATTGCGGCTGGGCTTAGCGTGTCCGACCACGACCCGATCATGCAGTGGCAAGAAGGCTGGGATCGTGCCAGCGAGGGAATGCGCAGTCGCCTGGTCCAAATGGTCACAGCCTCCAACGAGCGCGTCCTCACTAGCGACCTCCGCGGCGAGAAACGGGTCGAGGAAGCGCTTATGACGCTGTATGCGGGCCTCGAATCCTATGAGCCCGAGGAATTTCGGCAGTTCAAGCGCAGGATCTACGACCAAGTCCGCCAGTTTTCCTCGATACATGGGCCAGCCATGTTCGACTGGTACACGCCACGACAAAATGTGAGGATCGACAAGGACCAATGGATCGGCAACGGCACGTTCGGAGACGTCTCGCGGGGCACACTGCTGCTACTGAACGGGGAAAGGCAGAACGTCGTCGTCAAGCAGGTCTTCAAGCACGTGACGAGCGACGCCAATTCCACCGAATTGTTTATGAGGCAACTGGAGTTTTGGTACGATCTGATGAAGAACGAGGATATCCCCAAGACCCACATCCTTAAGCTGTACGCTGCGGTTCACATCGGTGACCCTCAGTTGTACGTGTGCGAAGACGCAGTGAACGGCAGCCTCATGGATTTCTTGGGCAAAGAAGAAAACCGGTCGCAGTTCTGGCCCATGTTCCTGCAGGTCGCGGAAGGACTGAAGACCCTTCACTCGAAGGGCATGGTCCATGGAGGCCTCAAGTGCACCAACATCTTGGTGGGGGAGGGCAACGTCGCCAAGCTGGGCGACTTTGGCTTCAGCTTTATCCGTAGCCTCTCCATTGAGCTGAGTAGCCACAAGAACAAAGCGATGACCTCGTCAGTCCGGTGGAAGGCCAAGGAGATGCTACAAGAGTTGACTGACTCAAACTATCGCTTCGCGTCGGACGTGTACTCGATGGGCATGTGTATGATCGAAGCGATCACTCAAGAGCCACCCTTCGGCTTGCTAGATGACGACGCTGTCACGGCATTGATCATGAGCGGGGCCGGACACGAACGTCCCGATGGGGTCTCGGATGCTGCATGGGACCTCATTTCAGACTTGTGTGCCGCGGATTACACGCAGAGACCGACACTCGGGCAAGCCGCCCAACGGATCAGTGAGCTAGCCGCCAACGGAGCTGGCGTAGGGGCATAACCAAGACTGCTGGTGTAGTAGATGTAGTGTTTAGCACAGTTTCCTGTTGTCGAATTGAATACATGTACTGCCAGTATTACCGTGAAAACTGTCCGTTCACCCTCGCGGCTTCTTGTTCTTCACCAGCGTAAGTCGTGATGTGATGCCAATATTTATTGCAGGCTACCAAAGTCTATTCGTGCCATCTCGTGGTCCACCACCTATCGAAGCCGACGAGTTGAAGTGTTCGAAAGCCTCCAATTTCTCCAAAAGTAAAACGTGGCCTTGAACCACGTTTTGAAGTTGTCCCACCACTCCTGGTGACTCCATTCTCCGGGCGACATTCTCAGCCGTTCTTCTTGATCCGCCCTGAAGATGTACAGCACGCGGGGTACCATACGCGAGAGGTCGTCGTGGCTGCTTCGTTTAAGCCGGCGTGGGTAATAGTTGCAAATGCAGCGAGGAGAGCACCGATAACGAGATGGTTGACGCGCATAATGGTGTCGTTGGCTGGGCTGGTCGCAAATTGGGAAGTGCCGCTGAATCAGTGACACATGAGCATTTGTAGTGAAATACTCATTCAAATCTTCGAGTATAGTACCTGTAGAAAACTGCGAAAGACGCATACTAAGGAGAAAGACGCATACTAAAAGTTTTTCTGCAAAAGACGAGCGCGGACGTGCCCATATTTTTCCAAGCGTTGTGTAGGTTGCTCGCTCATCTGATCCTACGTACTTGACGACAATCTCCACTTGCCGGAGTAGACCGTTGCAAATGCACCGCATCCAACTTGTTCTTCAGGGTCATTGGATTTCCTGTCGAGGGATTCCGCTGCCGGCACGATGGATCTCGATGAAATCATCCAATAGCTTCAGCTCCGTGTTCGTGTACGGCTCATGGATGGTCTCGCAGACCAAGGCGAACAAGCGTTTCATCGAACATGCTCGAATCGGAGAGCTCGTCGACCAAGTTTGAGGAGTCTTGTTGGGGGCTTGATGTGCGCCAAATAGTTCAATGATATCGTTCGCCTAATCTCATCACACTTGCCATCATCAGCAGCAAACAAAGTCTTCAGGATACAGCCTCACGAAGTCGTCATCCCCTAGGCCTGCCAGTTCATATTTATCCACGACATCGTAAGGCAAGAAAATGTGCTTGTCAATAAAAGATGCGATCAAATACAGCGCAGGGTGATGCCCACAGCAGCTTCCGGCTGTCTAAAAAAATGCACAAGATTCGCGACACAAGCGAGCACGTCGCTCAAACGACTGAAATTCTCAATACCAGTCTCCTGTCAACTCAGAGGAAACAGGAAAGAGCTTGCTGCGATCCATTAGCGCAACTTGGTTCCAGCCTTCAGTATTCCCTTGTTGATTGATCGGGGTCGCTCGTCCGGTTGGACAACGTAGCGAAGGGAAGCCACGTAACTGGTTCACCTCCTTGATGTCTTTGGAACGATGATAGTATTCTTCCTCGTTCTGTCCTGTAGTTTGAGCCAGATCAATCGCGAGTTTTCAGTTCTGATCGCGCAATGTTTTGTCATCGCCATTTTAAGTAGCGCAGCTTCCATCAATAGGGAGCGTCCTTGATGGTCTTCTGTGTTGGCATCACTGACATATCGAAGCAAGAGCGAAACCATCATCGGTTCGTTCTTCATCGCTGCACACCACACGCGAAGAAAAGTATCATACGCAGCGGTTTGACCGCATCAATGGAAGAGATCCGACAGCGGCCTGTCAATCGAAACAAGCGAGCTGGGACCATCGAGAATGGATACCGACGTGCACTCAAGAGGGTTGTCGTCTGCTGGCGCACACTCCCAGCCGTGAACCAACTTGCTCTCTGCATCCATTGGGCATTCCTCCTCTGAGTCGGAACGTCTCGTTGCACTCATCGCGTGTTCACCGCTGGTGACGTTCAGATCACAGTCACTCTTCGTTTCATGTTGTTTTTCATCGCTGGTCGCGCAGTTTTCTTCTCTAGCTTCGCTTGCACCAGTAGTCGTTTCCGGCGGCGCTTGAACCTCATTCACCGATGAATCAGCGTCCATCTCATCCGACTGTAGAACGTCCGCTTTGGCTGGTATGTCCTTTAACAAACGGCCGCAAGGGTCGGTAGCCTTTGCCTCAACTCGCCACAAGGGTAACTTCGGTTGTGCTTCACTCTCTGGAGCGAAGCCCTTGACAATATTGGCACCAGCTGCTCGCAATGAAGAAGGAAGCCCTTTGCTTGGAAAAGGGATTTTGGTGTCACCTCGCATTGGTCGCGGCCGTGGGGCAGCCTTTGATGGAACTTTTGCCTTGGCGTCTAGGCCTTTCATCTGGGGCTTTCTAATGGTGGAGCTCGGTTTCACTTGCGACTTGTCTACACTGCCCCGCAGTGCCGAGCTCCGTCGTCGAGGAGCCGAACTTGCTGCCTTTCCATCAGCCTCCAGTGTCGAGTGCAAACTGGTGAGTACAGCGTGCTGCTCGAGCAGCTGCCTCTTGACGTCTTCATTCTGCTTCTTGAGCTCCTCACAGAAATCCACGATCTTCGTGATCACCACAGGGTCCGCCGCGACTTCCGCTTTCAGCACTGGAGGTGGGCACGGATCAACTTCGAGCTGGTTCGAGGAGGCGGTCGCCTTTGCATCCTCCAGCCTCTGCTGCAAGTCCGAATGAAGCTTGCCATCATCATCCTCACTCCTCGACCGCCGCCGCCGTCTAGACTGCTGCTCCTTCAGCCGCTGCTCCTCCGCCAGTCGCTTCTTCTCCTCGATCTGTTCCTGCAGCCCCCTGAGATAGTCCTCCCTCGACTGCTGCCACACGCGCCTCCTCCCGCCTACCGCTTGGCCTTCGCCAGTCTCTCCACTGCCCGTCGTGGCCGCGCGCTCCAGCCCGGGGGCCATAGCGAGCTGCTCGCCGTCGACCTGCTGCGGGGCGCTCTGCGACCACCTCTGCGGCTGCTCCACTTCCTCCTTCTGCTGCTGCTTCTCGCGGATCTGCTGCTCCAGCGCCTCGCGCCACTGCGCGGGCGTCAGCTGCTGCACGCCCCGGCGCCCCATCGCAAAACTAGTTGCCTCCCGTAAATGCCTCTTCAAGATCCATATCTACACCGTGTACACCACATTATGTGCCGCACACCACCTCTTCCCTATTGTCCCTATTGGCCGATATTAATCGGTGGGTAGCGGGTCTTGTGCGCCTCACATAACCAAGCTCGCTACTGCCGCCGCCGCCGACCATGCCGCTGTACAAGCAGGTGCTGCTGACCAACCTCAAGTCTCCGCCCAAGGACGTGGCGCGCGTGTTCCAGGACTGCGCGGCGCTCATCACGTCCCAGGGCGGCGTGATCCGCGGCACGGAGAACCGCGGCGAGAAGCGTCTGGGCTACGGCATCGAGGACCGCCGGTGGGGCGCGCTGCAGCGCCACTACGAGGGCAAGCTCATCGTGCAGCAGTTCAACACGTCGCCCGCCGTGCTGGAGGAGGTGGAGGCCAAGCTCAAGAACAGCTTCCCCATCATCCGCTTCCAGACCTTCAAGATCCGCGACCCCGTGGACAAGCTCATGAACACGCGCGTCACGCTCGAGCAGGCGCAGCTGCTGCTCAACCCCGCGGCCAAGGCCAAGGCCGACAAGGCCGCGCGCGAGGCCAAGGAGGCGCGCCGCCCGCGCAACCGCGACCTGGCGGACGTCAAGCCCGAGGACTTCTTCGACATGGACGACGAGAAGGAGGCCGCGCAGTTCAAGCAGTACGTGCCCGAGTGGAAGCGCGACGCGCTCTTCGAGCCCGAAGTGCCCGCGCACCTCAAGGAGAAGCAGCACTGATTGATAGGCTCCCAGCAACAGCAGCTGCAGCTACAGCGCCGACAGGATGTGGACGTATTGCCTGTGTTTGGGTAGAAATAGAGAGAAAGCAACCTCGGAACCAATCGACTCTGGAAATCAAGGAGAACGGCAGAGTGACGGACGTGACGTGACGTGACGCGGGTCTCTGTGTGCCTGCCCGCCCGCCTGTCGCGTCCGTTGTCGCTGGTGCTTTATTATGGCTTAGTTCAGTTGCACCCGCCCGTCGTCTTGCATTAGCAGCAGTCGTCCGTCTTCTTTCAACTACGTGTAGCTCCTGTAGGTGGGTGGCCCGCCCTACTTGGTCTTCTGCAGCTCCTTCCGCAGCTGGTTGCAGAACTCGTCGTCGGCCTCATCCACGTCCCAGTCGTCCTGCCACTGCTGCTTGATGTGCGCGTCCTTCTCCTCCGCCTGGCCGTTCCAGTCGGCGTCCTCGAACTCCTCGAACTCGTCGTCCTCCTCCGTCACCACCACCAGCGTCGGCGCCTTCTCCGCCTGCGCGGGCGCCTTGCCGGCCGCCGCCGTCGTCTTGGTCTTCTTGTCCGCGGGCTTGCTCATCGTCCGTCTCCCTCCGCTCTGCAGTCAGTAGCAAGTGTCGGTCCGCTCTCCCTCGGAAGGGCAAGATCTAATGTCTAAATGGAATGTCGCGCCAAGGTCGCTCCACTGCAGCGACCTTCAAACAACCTCCACGACCTTGAGCTTCAAATTGCAGACTCTGCTTGCGTATCATCGCCGCCACTTGACATCTCGCCGTCTCGGTCGCATGTGGCTCTCGTCCTTCGCCTCCGCCGCCGACGCGGAGCCGCTCGCAGTGCGCGCGCGCGTGTGGAGCTCGCGCAGCTGCAGCGCCGCTTCAAGCTCTGCAGCTGGCGGCGACGACGCGCTGACGCTCGTGGCCACGTCGGACGTGGCGCTGCTGCGCCGCCTGCGCGTGGTGCACGACTCGTTCGTGACGCTGCAGTTCCAGGGCCGCCGCCACGTTGGGAGACTGCGCCTGCTGCCGGCAGGCTCCATAGTGGACGCCAGTGAAGATGAAGATGGAGACGTGACGCTGTCGCCGCTGCTGGCCTTCAACCTCGGCATCCCGCTGCACTCGTCCGCCGCCAGCCACGTGAGTGTGGAGCTGTCCATCCGCGCGGCGTCTCCGCAGCAGCTGGGCCTTGCACTGCAGCCGCCTTCGTCTCCGTTCCGTCGCAAGCAGCAGGAGCAGCCAGCGCCCGCCTCGTACGCCATGATCGCGCCGCTGCTGGTGTCGAGTCTGTCGTGTCGCCAGCACGCGCTGCTGCAGCAACGCGACGGGCTGCTGGACGCCATCCGCGCGTTCTTCTCGACGGCCAGAGCGCTGCAGGCCGGGGACGTCTTCGCCGTGGAGCTGCGCGAGACGACGCAGTCGCACGTGCCCAAGGAGAACGAGCGCTACAGGCAGAACTACGTGCCGTACAAGTGCGTGGAGGTGCCTGCCGCCTGCATGCTGCAGACTGAGGGCGAGACTGCCCAGGCGGTGACAGAGCTCATGCCCCCGACACTGGACCTGGACACGTCGCTCATGTTCTTCCGCGTGGAGAAGCTGGAAGGTGGAGACAGCAAGGACGCGCTGGCGCTGACGGTCTCGGACGCTACGGAGCTCATGCAGGGCTCTTCAACCTCCGCCCCGTCGCCGGATGAAGCGACCATCAAGTATTTCATGATGCGCAGCAGGCACCGCGGGGCTGTCCCGCCGTTCGACTCGCCCCTACCGTCGGCTACGCAGCAGAAGCTGTACGAAGTGCTGTACCCGGCTCAGTTGTGTGAGATCCCAGTGTCCGTCCTCCTGAGTGGCGCGAGAGGAGTCGGCAAGAGGACGCTGGTCCACCAAGTAGCCAAGCAGCTCGGCGTGATCACTGTGGAGGTGCCCTTCACTGAGCTTACGGGCCAGTCCGAGCTCCACTTGCTGGAAAACGTGCGGGATCAAGTGTCCAAGGCTCAGGCACTGTCGCCTTGCCTTCTCTACATCAGCCACCTCTTCCCGGTCGAGAAGGACAACGAAGAGGCTGAGCTGCGCATCGGCGCTGTTCTTTCCGAGTGTATTCGCTCGCTGAGTCAAAACCAGCACAGCATCCCATTGATCGCGTGCGTTGAGGACGTCAACGAAGTGCCCAAGTTCATCCGACAGTGCTTTCTGTATGAAATGCACCTCGAGGCGCCGGACCAGCGAAAGCGACTCGAGTTCTTGCGGCACATGGCGGCTTCGATAGCGCTGAGCGAGGACGTTGACCTGGAGGAAGTCGCGCAGTTGACGGCAGGTCGGACGTACGGAGAGCTGTCGGCCATGCTGGCAGATGCCGGCAGTCTTGCGATCGAGCGCATCCTTGGTGACGAGACCGACACAGACACGAGTGAACAATCGTTTGAGGATCTAGTGTTCGCAGACTCCGATGACCTCCCGCACGAATGCTCTGTCTCGGCTCAAGACATGGAGGAAGCGGCCCAGAACCAACAAGCACAGGCATCCTCCGCGAACATTGGCAATGCGTCGATCCCCAACGTGAAGTGGACGGATGTGGGCGGACTAGAAGACGTCAAGGACGAGATCCTCGACGTCGTGCAGTTACCGATTAAGCACCCTGAGCTTTTCGCTAGCGGTGTGCGTCAGCGATCCGGAATTCTGCTGTATGGTCCGCCAGGAACAGGCAAGACACTACTCGCAAAGGCCATCGCCACCGAGTGCAACCTCAACTTCTTGAGTGTGAAGGGCCCGGAACTGCTGAACATGTACATTGGTGAAAGCGAAAAGAACGTGCGGCAGGTGTTCGCAAAGGCGCGTAGCTGTCGGCCCTGCATCCTCTTCTTTGATGAACTCGACTCGCTGGCCCCGATGCGTGGGCGCGGGTCGGACTCGGGTGGAGTCATGGACCGCGTGGTATCGCAGCTTCTAACGGAGATCGATGGCCTTAGCGGCGGTGGCAACGACCAAGTATTCGTGATTGGAGCCACGAACCGCCCGGACCTGCTCGAGTCGGGCTTGTTGCGTCCCGGTCGCTTCGACCGACTGCTGTACCTGGGCATTTGCAACGAGACATCCGCGCAACTCAAGGTTCTGAAGGCGCAGACGCGGAAGTTCACGCTCGCCGAGGACGCCGACCTCGAGGCCGTGATCGAGCACTGTCCAACCAATTTCACGGGTGCCGACTTCTATGCGCTGAGCTCCAGTGCTCTAGCGGCTGCTTTGAAGGATCGCGTTGAAGCGCTTGACCAGCAACTCGGTGCGTGTAGCATGATTGAAGCTTTAATCGTTGAAGTTTTGGGTGGTAATATGGGTAATGTGCTGACTTTGTTGATGATTATGCAGAGGCAATCAACGCGGAGGACTGCTACTCATCGAGCCCGATGACGATCCGTTTGTTGCTTAACCGATTGTCGCCCGAGGAGCTTCGCGTCCCCGTGAGCCAAGAGCACTTCATGACGGCGCTCTCGCAGGTCGTCCCCTCCGTCTCGCCCGCCGAGATCCAGCACTACGAGAACCTCAAGAAGCAGTACAGCTCGAGACAAACATGATACTGTACGCACGAAAGAGAGCATGTGTCGTGCCGCTGGTTGCGCCGCGGCACCCAGAGTGATTGCATCTGGTGAGGCAAGTATTGGGGAATTTGTGTGCGTTGAGATCGATCTCTGCCGGCCGAGCTACAGTAACTAAACTCCACTTTAATATCGATCGCATGGTGTTGAATCTTTTGCTTGCGTTCCAGGTGTACGGTGCCGTTGCAGCCACCACATGACGCGTTGTGTATGATTCGGACAGTGAAAGCTGGCATATGGCGAACGCAGGTGCCTCGGAAGAGGGGCTGACCAGCGTTGAAGCGTAAAGGGAGAGCCGGCGCCCCCATCGAGCGCGGCGCGGTGGCTCAGTATGTGCTCACAACCTAATTTGCTTCGTATCTGCCATTCACTTGGAAATGGCCCGCTTCGTCTCCTCTCTCACTCTGTGCGCTCTCGCGATGAGCTCCGTCTCCGCCGGGTATGACGGCGGTGTCCAGCAGCAGCAACAGCAACAGACAGCGAGTGTCGACACGTGGAGATCCCAGTTCCAGAGCAAGATCAACATCCTGCCCAAGCCCAAGGGAGACTGCGCCGTGTGCTTCTACGAGCAGCCCAACTTTGTCGGCAGCAGCTTCTGCGTCGGCAAGCGCGAGCAGAGCTGCACCAAGGTGAACCCGATCACGGCTCCGGGGACGATCGGCAGCATAAAGTTCGGCAAGGGCTGCAACCTCGTGGCCAACGTCCGCGTGACGGATGCCCCCTACGACTCGCACGTCGACGTGCTCTCGACCGACGTGGCCAACACGGGCTACAACCTGACCTCGGACCACTCGGTCCAGGAAGTGTACGTCGAGGAGGCTGGCCGCGCCTGCTTCCTGGGAACGCCCGAGTCTGGAAATGGCTACGGTCTCTGCTACACCAAGAGCGTGCCCATCGTGGACGACCAGTACCGGAACGCGCTCACCGAGCTGATGCTCTTCAAGTCGGACGCCAAGGACTTCGACGTGATCGCGTACGAGAACGACTACTACAACAGCCCGGAAAAGAGCGTCGTGCAGCGAGCGGTGTCGGAGAGCAACAAGCCCGGACTCTCGCAGCGCTTCACCGGGTACAGCAAGACGCTGGATACCAGCGCCACCGACAGCTCCACGGGCATGAAGAAGACTCTCACGAACAAAGTGCGCTCCATCGAATTCGTCGAGCCCGAAGAGGACTCGACCCCCGGCTCCGTGCACTCCCCTGCCCAGTACGCAGTCTAGATTTGTTTAAACTTGCTAACGAGGCGTATGCTCTGTGTTTCCCACTTTAAATATTCGACACCTACTTGATGCCATACTTGCGCTGTACAGTGTCGTCCGGGTGCTCTGTCACGATCTCCGAGCGCTGCTTGCTCCAGACCAGCCGCGGCGGGATGCCCATGCTGTCGAAGAGATGGGCGTTGGGCACTCGACTCGCTAGTCGACGGAAGTTGCGTGTGATCAACGAGGACGCCGCATCGATGACGGACCGGGGCACGTCTCGACCGTAGCCGCTGCTGCGCTTGTCCACGCGCTTGTAAGCCTCCGTTATGGGGATGTCCAAGCAGATCACGTGGACGTCAAAACCCGCAGCCTTGACTTGGTCGATAGTGCGGGCGTAGCTGGTGAAACTCTTGCCGCTGCCGTGGAGAATAATGTTCTTGCGCGACATGATGGCGCTGTGCAGGTTCTTCTTGAGAATGAAGCGCGCTTCGTCTCGACAGAGCTGATAGCGCGTCTGCGGGCCTGGCAGCAATTTGGCGTGGGGCTTGGAGATAACTTCGGCGGCGTTGGGGTCGGTCACACTGCGGCTCTCCGGCTCATTGCCCAGTCCCACGTTGAGCATGGCATGATAGAACTCTGGGAGTAGCGCGATGACATCGTCAACGTCAAAGTTGACAAAGTCTTGCAGTGTGAGCTGGCCCATGAGGTCCAGATGACTGAGCATCGTGGACTTCCCGGACCCAGGAATCCCCAGCAGGAGCACAAACTTGGGCGTCGTCAAGTCCTGCGGGGCGGACGAGTACAGCTGCTGCGCGATGCGGGCGTGCAGCCGCAGTCGCTGCGGTGAGAAGTAGCCTTGGTCGTTCGTATGCAGCTGGAAGGTTGAAGTGGGCGGCAGCGCGGTCATGACGTCGGCGTCAAGCGGATCTGCCTCGGCGCTCATCACCGTCGGGTCTGCGTTCTTGTTGAGCTGTCGGAGCACGGACGCGGTGCCTTCACTCACATGGGCCCCGCCGCCTTGGATCTCGCTCTCCGTTTTTGCAGGGTCAGCGGTGGTGGACTCGTTGTCCGTGGGCACGACGAGCAGGTTCTCCACTTCGGACGCGACCTTGCGGCGGAACGAGTACGCGCTCTCGGGGTCCAGCGTCGAGTGCGACGTGTCGAGGAACACGGGGCCGCACGTCTGCGTCTCGAGGATCTGGAAGCCTTCCTCCGTGAGCGCGCCCATGAAGCGGATCACCTTGTTGGGCTCGTCCGCTAGCGTCAGGAACTGCGTCGCGGAGGCCGCGCTGCTGTGCGAGAACGGGACGCCGTCCTCGTCGTCAAAGTCCGCGCCTTCGTCGTCCAAGGCCACGAGCGGCTCGTCGCTGTCGGCGTCCTGCTCGTCGTGCGGGACGATGAGCTCGGCGTCGAACTCGTTGAGAATGCGCAGCAGCTGCGGCTGGCGGCGCGGGTCGCGGCGGATCTGCAGCAGCAACTGCGAGCGCAGCAGCAGCTGGTCGTTGGCCACGCAGAAGTTGACGGTCGTGAGGTGGAAGAAGGTGACGGCCACCAGCGCGCGCAGCCGCTTCTTGAGCGCCGGCAGCTCGCGGTCGCGCAGGAAGCACGAGATCGTGACGCGCGAGAGCTCCGGCACGACGGTGGAGCGCACGCAGAGGCCCGTGATGTTCTGGTCCGCGTAGCCGAACACGTCCGCGATCTGCGCCAGCGTGCCCGGGCGGTTGACCACCAGCGCCGAGATGATGCGCTCCTCGAGGGCGTCGTCGCGCTTGCCGGCTTGATTGGCGGTGGCTGCGGGGGTCTGGGTGGGGGACGGCGGTGAGCTGGAAGAGGAGAGGCAGCGGCCCAACAGCCCGTCAAGGACCGCGGCGCAGGCGGAGGGGGCGAGCCGCCGCCGTGCCAGCCGCAGCATATCCTGTCGGCGGTACTCCCTTGAGCTACCGACGGTCGCAGCGACGCGACCTCAACATGATTGTTGTGTACCGGTAGTGTACACAGAGTTCTATGGGTAGTACTAAAACTCAAATTAGTATACTACGTGAGTACTACAACACAGCATTATAGTATACTACACATGGTATTCATGTAAGTATACATTAGTGGTTCTCACGGTTGGTAGATTTGCAGGTTGCAGGTAAATCTACCCAATCAGCGTAAACCTGCAGGTGTGTTCAGAAAGTGCATTGCAGGTTAGCCAGCATACTTTGTGACTTGCTGCAGGTTTGACTGCAGGTTTGCAGGTAAATCCTATTGGCTGATGAAACTTGCGGACCTTCCAACCGTGAGAACCACATAGTGGTTATGAATATGGACTATCTAAATAATAGTGATTAATCTTCTAGTTATCAAGTACTAGTTAAGCTTTTCGAGGATGACTGGGCACGTGAGCACGCATTCTGGCCTAACTATCAGTGGAATCTGGTTTCGGACGCGAAAGGAGCTATGCTAACAAGAAAAAAGTTTGACCGCATCCAGGCTTGCTCCCTGCAGGAACTGCAGATCCAACGGACAGGTCTGGCGGCGTATTCGGTCTTCGTCCCCTTAGCATCAACAGCGAGCAAGCATCACACGGCACCGAAATTATGTCGATGAGCACTCGCAATCATCGCCGGATCACCCCCGCTAGCAATTGCGTCAACGATGTGTGTGTCGCCTCAGCTATCGCTCCGACACCCACCTGAGCTCCACCATCACTATCAGTGGACCATACGCGTTGATGGCACTGTACAATGCGTACTAGAAGGTGAAGAAAACGGCGAGGCTTACTTCACTTTACAGCAAGAGGCGGATGGAATCCACTGGACAATGTTTCAGGCGTTGACACCAACACCTCAGCTAGCCTCGGACTGTGTTGCACAGCAGAAGGAACGTTCAGGCCTCGTTTTCAAGGCTCACCCGGCAACCCGCAAATTTCCGTGGATGTGTAACAGGACATGGACAGATGGCGGTCACGGTATGGTGACCACGGAGGCGAGCAGCGGTAGCTGGTCGCACGAATCGGGCGACGAGTGGGGCATGGCGGACGAGAGCGGCTGGCATGAGTGCGCGGTGGCGGGTCGCGAGATCCAGACGACGGTGGGTGCGGAGAGCCGCACGAACGCGATCTTGGCAGCGAACGGTCGCTCCGAGAGCAGTGGCAGCCGGAACGGACGGCTGGGAGTGGCTGACGAAGAAGATCTCGAAGCTGAAGGGTCGGCGGTGCGAGCTGACCTTCGGGCTGGAGAAGAACGAGCGGTGGCGAACGAGTGAGGACGGGGAGTCGGAAATTTGCGCGGTGAGGCGCAAGCGGTTGAGAATTAGCGCGCTTGGAGCAAGCGAGCACTTACGAGTTGGGTGGCCTGGTGACGGGTTGCCGGACAACGAACGAGGGCGAAAGCTCTTGCTGGGGGCGACAGCTCCTTCTGGACGAGTGACGGACAGGTGGTGGTGGAGTGTCGACGGGCGCTCCGCTGCTACTGACGAACGAGTGGAGGGTTAGTAGCTCGCGTGCGTGGGTGAACTCTCTTTGTGTAGTTAGCTCTAATTGTCGGCTGTGGGCTGATAGCTACGAGTTGGCTGAGGACTATTGAGTAATCTAGCCTCCTTAATAAAATTGGATACGTTCGTGCGTGTACGGACGATCCGGCGCAGTAGCTCGATTAGCTGCTGTCGGCCAGCACGGAGTCAACTTCAGTTCCCGCGGGCGAACGAACGCAGCGGAGCAATACGATATGCCCCACGAGCTGGGCAAGATAAGAAGCTCGTTACAGATGATTTCAGAAACAGTCGCCAATCGCCACGTGCTTCAAACGCTCAAGCGGCTACCATTCAAGACATACAAAAAGAGCCTAGGCCGGGATCTCCAGCCGATCGTCGAACGCCTCGAGCAGGCAGGGGTACCGACGATTGGAGCCACGGGGCGCTGCAACAAACGCCCGGCAATTGAGGACGCACAAGAATGCGCTCACTGAATATCAAGTGTGGGTTAGCTACAGGATTGTAACGAAACAGCTCAACTTGTTCTTTGAGGGCAGACAGCACGACAAGAGCTGCCGAAAATTACAGTGCTGCCGACAGGAAAAGGAGACGCTCAGTCACATTTACTGGACGTGCCCGTGTGCGCATGCATGTTGCCAATTCCTCATCAGCCACTGGACCGAACGAAGCTGTCAAGTCTCGCAACTACAGCGTTTTCTGACCAGTTGCGCGTCCCGATCGCCTCCTGCGATCGCGCCGGAACTTAGTTACCGACTCCGCTGCGTGTTCCAAGACGAAGTCGCGGAATATGAACGAGAGTGGAAGCGAATTTGGTGGATCCTTAGTACGATCTGTGTAACAGTATTGTGGTCACAGAGGAATCGAGTGGTGCATCAAGGCAGCCACGTCACGATAGAAAGCAGTGTTGCTGCTTTTCAAGCAACAGGACTACGACAATTGCGGGCATTAGCCAAAAGAACGATGAACTCCGCGGACCATGACACAAGGAACGCGTCTATTAATCTGTCTGGATTTTTTTCCAGCAAACCCCAAAAGAGGCACCTCGATACGAGGCGAGCCACGTACAGCTACCGGGACCTTACTTGGCTCCAGCGCTGACCAGCTGGCTTAGGACCTTCCAGACAATCTTATAACTATACGTTTAATAGACTAGTCTAAACCTCCTCCTCCTCAAGCTTTTCGAGGAGCTGAGGACGGCATTCGCCATCTGCTAGTTGGTTGATATCAGCACGCTTTGGCGGCTTTCCATGCTAGAGTTCTGTTCGCTTAGTTTCGCGTAATCTCCTGCAAAATTCTAGCAATTATCAAGGCAAGTAATAAGATCAGCAATAACTGATGCAGTAGTAGTGGTACAGTCCGAAAGTAGTACTAAGAGTTATGATATAAAAGTAATGAGACCAGCAACAATTGATGCAGTAGTAGTAATATTCCGAAAGAGAAAGAAGTACTATTAAAACTACTATTGTAGTCGATATTATAAATCTTAGCAGTTATCGACGGGTACCCGATTCCGGCAGATATTAGCTTAAATATGACAATTAAGAAAGAGAGACCCGGTTTGGTACCTGGTTTTGGAAAGTTACAAGTTTTTTGCCGGGGCCAAGCACTGGTCTTCGGGAGCGACTAAATTAGGTCAAATCGCAAGTTGGTCAAGGCCAAATCTTGAAGATAGATCACGGATAGGTCACACATTTGGCACTTAGGTCACGTGACCAAGTGGTTTGGTCACGTGAAGCTACTAGAACAAGCTTTAGCGCCCCAGCATCACCCAAGTCGTTCCCTTCATTACTACGGTAAAGTACAACATGCCAAGTAGCTATTTCTGGCCGTTGTACCTGTCCTAAACTCTGGGGGGGTTGGAACCAACATGATCCAATAGAAAGCATGCGAACAGTGGGCCATTGGGACTTTTCCCTTCACAAACACAACCTTCAAGTCACGCGCCAACCACTAACGTAACCCAAGATGGCTCGGCGCCGAGGCGGTCGTGGAGGAGCCTCTATGTCTTCCCCAGACCCAGCCCCATCTCGTTCTCCTGGTCGTCGTGGGCAATCTCGATTTGCCCCGACTTCGCGTCCGACTCGTCGAAGCAGTCGCGCGACGAGTGACGTTCTTGAAAGAGACCTGTCCGACGCCATCTTGGCTTCCCAAGAGTTACGGGCAGGAACACAGGCGCCGACGTCGCGTTTAACACGCCGAAACAACCACGCATCGAGTGACGTCCCTGATAGCGAGGTGACCGCAGCCGTCGTGACTCGGCATGGATTTCTGATGGGGATTCGCGATACTGAACCAGACACGCCTGAGCTGGTAGGCATCCCACGACCAGCGCTATCCATGCCACTGTCCAATGTGGACACTCAGACCTCGACGAGTGTGTCACGTTCGCAACAAGCGTCCAAGCCTCGGGACGGACGTACAAAACTGTACTATTAGGGGTACTCTTTTGTTCGAGCTAACGGAACTTCAAACAAGATATCGTATCGCTGCAGCTCATATCGTTCCCCCTGCCCTGCGCAGTTTGCATTCTACGTGAGTACGATGGCGTTTGACTTCAGCAGCATGGAGGCTCATACATGCCGTGCTGGTCCTGCTCTCCGAGGAGCAACGGTGAACCCAGGCGATCACGCCATAGATGCTTCGAACGACATCATGGAGGAGGTCGACAAACTTGCTACTCAAACGACTCTCACTCAGAGGCAAATATGGATGGCTATTGTACATGAACGATTGGGCTCCGGTTCGCGGCGTATCGGAGAAAACCGTCAAAAACCGTGTGCAAGAAGCTTGGGCCCACGATTCCAGTCACGGCCGAGCCAGTATCATGACGAACCCCCGACTGACCAAGATTAAAGGATCGCACCAAGGCTTCTTCCAGTTTCAGTATGCCTGGCACGATGACGTCAAGGCGCTGAAGAAGCCGCCAAAGGATGCAAATGGCATCGATCAGATAACTGCGTGGGCTCATCCTACGCTTTTGAATTTGCTTTGCTTCGAAAACTTGTCGTGGTTTATCGGCGGCACGTTTAGATGTGCCCCCGTCGACTATAAGCAGTGTGTCACAATTATGATCTATGATCTTTCCAGCAAGCTGTTTCTCCCTGTCCTGCATGCGGCAACTTCATCTATGACGAGAAAATCCTACACCCGACTGCTGCAATGTGTACAAGATGCTGTGGGGAGCAAACTGGTTCCGAAAGATGTGGTGTGTGACTTTGAGAGTCACTGATTGGAGCACTTCGCGAGTTCTTTCCTGACGTCACCATTATCGGGTGCCTGTTTCATTTTAACAGGCATGCCGTCGCAAGATGAATAGCATTGGGCTACCAGTTGGTGAAGTCAAGGTTGCTATGTCGCGTAATGTCTTTGACATACTTATCGTCATTGATCCCACCAAAATTGCTGTGCAGGGAATCGCTTGGGTGAAGGCCAAGATTTGCAGCGTGTGTGAGGTGAAAGGTCTGGAGTACTCTCGCAGCAAGTGGCGAAAGGTTTGGAGCTACTTTCAGCGGACTTGGTTGGAGACATACCCGCCGGAATACTGGAATGTGTTCGGCATGAGGCGTGACATCATCAGCCGGACGAACAACCCATTAGAGCGATTTCACCGTGAACTAAACAAGCGGTTAATGCTCATCCGCCCATGAAAACCTTCGTGACTTCGCTAGAGAACCTTGCTCGCGAGTACGTTGCGCAACGGACGACTACTGTGACGGGGCACACAGCACTTCTTAACAGAGGAAGCAGGAGTATACAAACTCCAAGTGAACAGCCGTTCATGTGTCCCTGGTCTGAAGGGGACGACTTGACTTGAAAAGCGGTAGATCTAAGACTGAATGTATTTATAGGTTGGTACAGATTTGGCCTGCATACAAATCCTAAGTTCCCTATGTTTGTGTCATACAAAATGTATCTGTTGGCTCTGAGGCCACTTGGGTCACTATCCAGGGGAGTGACCGATGTAGCCATCCCGGAATAGTGACAGGGTCACTATTCCATGTAACCCCGTTACATCCTCCCCCACTTAGATTCGATCTTATCGACCAATCAGAGCGAGGTTACGCCGGCGACTCACATTTCACTCGCAAAGTCGAAATCCATCGACAACGGCGCGAGCTCTGGCGCCTCGGCTCCCGGGCCTCACAGAGCAACTGGCGCATCGCCGAGCAAGCCGCAGGGTCTCCACGTCGACCAGAAGCATGCCTCCAAAGCGCAGTGCGCGCAGTGCGAAAGCACCTCCGAAACCGCGGGCCGTAGGGCCGAAGACCAGGGCGGCCAAGGCCAAGGACGAGTCGTCCGCGCTGGTGGAGGCCACGAAGGCGGCCGAGGAGGTGGTGCGCTCTCGTAGCAGCACGCCGGAGAGTGGCCGTCAGGCCGGGGCTCGGAGCAAGTCTCCTGACGCCGCGCAAGGCAAGGAGGAGAGTCCTCGGGGCCATAAAAGCCCGGCTCGCGACTGGGAAGCCGCCGTCTTTGACTGCACGATGGTCCAGTACTCCGGTGAGAGTTCACTCGACGACGAAAACGTCTCGGAGGGCAGCACGCACGCTGCCGAAGGCACGGAGCTGGCGGCAGGCGACATGACCAACGCCTCGGCCGACGCAAAGGCCTCGTCAGAGAAGGAGGCGGAGGACGCCGAGTCCGGCTCAGGCGACAGCAAGCAGTCGCACGACGAAGTCGCCATGGCCGACGCTGGGGTCGTGGCCGAGAAGTCGCCGAGCGACGCGGGCTCCAAGCCCATGGAGGTGCTGGCATCCAAGCATCTGACGCTGGCA